CTAAACTACACTCAAACGGAGAGAGGCCCTTGGACGATACTGGTAATGCATTGTGGGCGTTGGCTCCACGAGGAGGGATTCTTGGAGACCAAACATCGCAACACCTTCTCCAAATCTTGGTTGGCTCTCTCGATTTTGACATTGCTCTGGGGATGAAACCCTGAGGACCAAAATACTCAATACAAAATACTTACCAAAATTTGGAAACAAACTGTGGTCTCCTGTCAGAGACCATGTCTAACAGAAGGCCACGTAAAGGAAAGATGTGGTCTACAACTGTCAATGCTGTCTCCTTGTCTGAGGGTAATTTGGGCAAAGGAATGAAATGGGCCGCCTTCGAGAACTGGTCCACCACGACTGTGTTACCCTGAGAGGGTAGAAGGGCAGTGATAAAATCTAGAGCAATGTGGGACCAAGGCCTCGAAGAGACAACCCATCTGGGCGTTGATTGGAAGTCTTACCAGTGGCAAAAACCGAGCAAGCAAAAACAAAACTGTGAATGTCACGAGCCATAAGTAGTCACCAGAATCGTTGCTTGACTAAAAAACTAGTGTGATTAACTCCTGGATGACAAGCTATGTCGAAACAATGCCCCCCACTGAATGACGTCGGACCATAATCCCTCCGCAGGAGGATCTTCGACTCGACCTCCCATGTGAGTGTGGAGAAAAATATGTGTTCAACTAGGGGACCCCAAAAACAAAACTGTAAATGTCACGAGCCATGAGTGGCCACCAGAATCGTTGCTTGACTAAAAAAACTAGTGTGATTAACTACTGGATGACAAGCTATGTTGGAACAGGCTAGGTGGGCACTTTTTTTCGGTCATTTAAATTTTTCTCTCTTGTACCAGGTTCCACATCTAACCTGACTCTTTATTGCATATTTTTTACTGTTCCGAACGCCCGTCTACTCCCGAGTGCATTTTACCCGTGACCCTATTTGTCTCCACACTCACATGGGAGGTCGAGTTGAAGGTCAAGTCGGCCTTAGAAAGGGGAACGCCTCCGCCCAGTTGCCCACTGGGGTAACGCCTCCACCGGAGGGATTACGGTCCAACATCATTCAGCGGGGGGTGAATGACGTCAGACCTTAATCCCTCCGGCTATAAGTATTCTTTATCGTGATGTTGTTCACCCCCCGGTAATCAATACAAGGTTGCAGAGAGCCGTCCTTCTTCCCTACAAAACTGAAACCTGGCCCCGCTGGAGAAGAGGAAGGGCGGATGAACTCCAGTTGCTAGAGATTCAGAAATATATTTCTCCATAGCCTCCCTTTCTGGAGCAAAAGGAAAAATAACTTCCCCTTAGACGGAGACGTACCTGGCAGTAAATCTTTTTCCATTGTGGCATTCGCTCTGTATTACAATTCTTTGCAGCCTTTAGCCACTGCTTAATGCACTGATCCTTCACTGGAAACCAAAAGTAACTTACTCCCACCAAACATTTACTCTTTGAACCCTTGCACCTGACGAACAATACAAGTTTGCTAAAAAGTATTCCCTACTAAAGAAAGGCAATATTTGACTAACAGGAAAGAAGATGAGATATTGATAACCTTTCATTCAAAGAAAGAAAGAAAAAAAGAAAGTTTTCCCAGTGTTCTGATTTGATTCATGATGGGCTGGGAAATTGAGCCGCAGTGTCGGTAAACTGATCAGAGATCAGGGAAGTGAGATGATCAGGTTGAGTGCTCAAGTTCTTATCCAGGTAACCTGAGCAGCAGGGTAAGGGCTGCTGATGTAAAGAGGCTCAATTAATGTGGAAATAAAACACTGCACGCACAGCAGAGACCACAGAAAGTCCCTCGGTGTGAGACAGATGGTCCCTTTAGTTTCACTGCTGACTGCAGTTATTAGCAATGCCATGTGTCCTTTGTAAACTATATCATTTGATGTTGTTGATAAAAAGTGGACTGTTCTATAGTTGCATGTTGAGGCAATTGATAGGCAGATGGATTCATTCTATAGAACATGAGGTTTTGCTTGAAATGCTGACGGGGTGCTTTGGTACATGATAGGCTCAAATGTTCTTCACCCTGTGCAGATGATGAAGACCATTCTATTTTTGGCCCTCTTGTATGGGGATATCCGGTCTGCAGTTCACTCTCTCTCTCTCAAGCACACACACACACGTGCACATTAGACACACACGCAGAGAGGTGGTGTAACTGTGAGGGAGTTCTACGTTCCTGGCTGTTCTCAAATTCCAATTTAAGCTCAAAGGGAGGTTTGATGTCTGCATAAAGGGATAGGTGTATCCCATCCTGCAGCATTAATGTTTAAACAGAACACCAACGAAAGGTTCAGACTGCATATATTTCTCTTTATAAATCTCCAATGCTACAACCAGCCCAAATTCCAGTTGACTGACATCTGCCATCCCCCTGGAGAAAACTCATTTAACCTGCTTCACTGCCATCAGGATTTGATTACAAATTTGAATGTTATGTAAATCGTCCTGGATTAGGATTGCAGTCCGATAGACAAAACAGCATGGTTATGCCGAACCAACATGTCCTGCTCCATCTCACCTAGTCATGGTGCTTTAAGCACAACAAAAACCAAATCTTTGATTGTATTGATTGATTTGGCGGGGGAGGGAATTCATTAACACCTATATTATTGGGATTGAGAAAGTCTCACAGCTCTATAACTCATTCTCCTCCACTTTGGCAGACCACTGGTTGGCAGAAATCTAGCTATTCACACACAGGAGCAATTAGGTTGATCGAAATATACACTGGATCAAACGGATGTCAGTGGGACACACAACTGCCCATCAGATGCCAGAGCTACTCCACGTCCCGTCCCCCAACCTGACACTCTCATCAGTTAAATCCATCCCTTTGTCGCTAGGGATTACAGTTTAATCCTCCAACTGATTCCTGTACTTTCCCCACTCTGTCTCATTCTCTGTTAAATGTTGTAGGGCCATCACTTTAACCACTGTATCCTTGATGAAGCCACCCATTGGTGTGTGTGTGTGTGTGTGTGTGTGTTTGTGTGTATAAATCACACATGGGTGTCGTCTGGCAGACAACAAGGAACATTGTCCTTTGACTAGTGGATTCACAAGGATATAACTTCAGAAGCAGATTATGTGGAGCGACGAAGGCTATCCCAATTCAAGGGCTTCTTCCATTGCAGCATTGAAATGCATCCTTCATTTCCCAGGCAATGAAGGATAAAAAAGATGGATACTTTACGGCCTAGTTAACCCCAGAAAATATTGCGCACTGGTGACGATTACACTTTTAAATGTAAGTATTGGGTTTCAACTTACTCAAATATCTAATGATACAAATGTTAAAATAAAAACATTAAAGCAGTTCAAATGTTGACATATCTTATTAAGATGCGATTTCGTATCATTTATACTGTTTATTATGTACAGATAAACAAAATTTGACAAATTTCTGTTTTAGTTTTCAGACAATTGAATATCACTTTCAAAAAAGTCCTTTAAAACGTTATTGCTGCATGTCAACAGCAGCTGTCATAGTTGCTAGCACAAGAAAGTCATCCATAGGCTAGACCATCACATTTACAGTACACTCTCAGAAAAAAGGTACGAAAGCTGTCACTGAGGCGGTACCTTTTCAAAAGGTACACTTTTGTACCTAAAGGGTGCATATTGGTACCTTCATGGTACATATTTGTACAATTATGGTACCAATATGCACCCTTTAGGTGTGGAATGTGGAACAGGAATGTGGGACCTTTTTATATATATATATATATATATAATATATATATATATATATATATATATATATGTGTGTGTGTGTGTGTGTGTGTGTATATATATATGAAGAGTTCAGATGCAAAAGCCTCTAAACGCCATTTGAAATTTTCTTCTTTAATGATGATTTTAATCTAACTTGTATATTTAAGTTCAGTAATTTCACTTAAATGGCAATGATAATTACCTATTAATTGTTATTTAGGTGAAATTACTGAACTTACATATACAAGCTTGATAAAAATCATCAGTAAAGATGAAAATTTCGAATGCATTTAGAGGCTTTTGCATCTGAACTCTTCATATACAGTATATATACTGTTTCAGTCTTTGTATGTGCCATATTTTCTTTGTAATTATTTCATTACCTGAAATTTTAGAATGAAACTTGTTTCAATTTTTTGTGCACAGATACATGTATTCGAAAATACACTGAACCTCAGAATAGCTTTTATTTTGTGGCAAATATAAATGTATGATTGAAGGTTTACAAAAAAAATAGGACAGTCAGGAGGGGGTTGATATGCATATCAGCAGTGCATATCTGTGCATTCATTCATGGGTTTTATGTGTGCTGCAGACCCTTGGCATCCAATGATGGAGAGACTGAGTGCACAATGCCAGCTGTCTCACTTTCCATTCATATGCCACCAGGACCCGTGCAAACAGCTTAGTTATTTTAGCATTTCCCTGGCATGTCCATCTTAATGAGTACAGTATGCACACATTATGTGTCTGGTTGTAAGCTCCATAATAGTGCTGCCAGGTGAACAGCATGTTTGCAAATACTGAATCAAACTAATTGGGTTGTCCCGGGGTGTTTGCACTGTGTGCAATGCATAATTTCAGCAAACACAGATTTGCACTTGTAGTAGATATAGGAACTGCAATGGAATATTGCGGTTGATAAACCTCATTAGCCATGAAACAAATATTCAATAGGAAAGCAGACTATTTTACCTTATGATCTTCATACACAGTTGGATTCAGAAATGGGTTGAAAACGCCATTGTCACCAGGGAAGAGGTTATTGCGAGTGTGATTAATCATGTCTCAGTGTTGACGTTCAATGACGTGCACATCAAAAAAAGAAAAAAAAAAAAGGAACGTGCAATAAAATAGTCTGCTATATTGTCGGAGTGCGATCAGTACGTGGTCAGGGCTTGATTTCAGTACATCCCCACGATGATTTAGACTTCTCTTTAAACTTACAGTGCCTCTGTCAAGGAGCGAGAGGGGCGCGCGACCGACCGGCGTTCACACACACACACACACACACACACATTCGCTCGCGTCTATGCAGTGATAGTGACTCTGAGCGGCGCGCGGGACAGTGATGATGTGCCAGCGAAGAATATTCGCGCTGTAATAATTTTCCCGCCCCTAACTTCAGCATTTCACCAAGAAGCGTTAAGTAAATTCTAAAGTGAGTTCGTTTATCCTGTTATGGAGCAATATGCACAGAAAATGTCTCTGCTGAAGAAAGTGAGGACCGGAGTCGTGGCGAGCGGTGAGTAGGCTGGGAGTTTCTACTTTGATGCTCTTGTAGATTTTATTCATTAAACTTAGAGAATCATTGTTCATTTCGCCTATATTGCTTATTTATCAACTTTTAGGATGTCAGTGGTGCGTTTGGTTTCGCTTTAGCTTTATTTGATGTTCGTGGCTAGTCTAATACATAGGCTAATACATTTAAATTCAGCAGTGTTTGAACTTACCATATTGAACGATAATTTTGTAGCCTTATATTTGTGAATGAGCCAGGAATTTTCATAAATTATTTCGGCTATTTATGATGGGATATTATAGGTAGGCTACTTGGCTATTGAAATCGTAAGGTAACCATTCGTCTTAAAGATTCTGATTAGTCCTAAAGGTCCGGATTACAATTGCACGAACGATTCTTTTGGTAGGCAAATTTTGAGGAAGAAATATTTGAGTATAAAAATACAGTTTTGTGATGCCCTCAGCAGTCTGTGTTGATAAATGATGAGATCGTTTTAGATTTCAACTTGCAGCTAGCACAAGAAACAAATTTAATATAGCCTAACACTTGCTAAATGTGTTACATGGACTTTTTAAGTCTATGTTAATGTGTTACATTAACTTTTTATTGGAGGCATATATTGATTGAACATACTTCAATCAAATGAAGATACTAAGTGAAATTCAATAAGTGAACGGGCTCTTTACTCAAAAAATAATATACTATAATGGATTAAAATTTTGCTTGCAAAAGTATTTGTTCTAAACTAATTTGATTGGTCGTCAAAAAGGATTTTAGCAACCAGATCAGACCTAGACATTGTGGAAATGTTTTGGTGTTTGTGGTTAAAGTTACAGTATAATGATTTTAAAAAGAGTATAATGAAGTCGCTAAATCACTCAGACGTGTTGTGGATTTTTAAATAAGCCTTTTAAAGGCAACAGAAGTGGCCCCTGACCCTTCTTGCATGCTGTCTGTTGTTATAAAAGTATGCACATTATTTTGCCATTGTTTAGACACGTTTGCTATTATCATGCATTGTCTGCTTGGTTCATCCTTCCTAATTTCCACCCTATTTTAACACCTGCTTATGTGTGATTATGAAGCATCTTGCTCCCCTCACTTTCTGCTCATCAGCCTGTACTGGAGAGCAAGAATGTTCTTGATAGAGCCACAGCACTGGGCTGCTCAACACACTTTCCTCAATTAACTTTCCACACAGTAAAGCAAGCCTTACTCCCAGTGGGAATATGTTTCTATTAATAAATAGTTTATCACTCCCACCCTAGCATAATGAAACACCTTGACAACAGCAAATTATTCAATCTCTGTTAAGAAGAGTTGTGGGATGTTTGGAGGTCTCTGCTAATAGATCCAGCCTCCAGACACTATAGTGTCCTTCTTTATTGAAATACGAAGAGCAAGGCTGTAAATATGGACCTGATTCAATTTCTATTTTCAATTTTGTTCAATTTTAACAAAGTTATTTCAAACTTATCAAACTGATTTTATGAACACAACTATTTGACCTCTTTAAGTTTTGATGTTTCTTTGTCTCCAACAGGGTGCAAATGATGTGGGCTGTTTGGCTCTTCACTGAACTGTGCACAAGATCCTATGGGATCTACCTTCAAATAAACACCTCAATGCCCAGCACCCAGGTATCAGGCTAACACTGAAACGACCAGAGCTTTGCCCATCACTTTGATCAACTTTCCTTTTCAATGCCACCATGCCAATCATCAGCAACGCCAATCATGACTTTAGCAACCTCTCGGTCAGTGACGACAGCAGCTTGGACCACATCTTTACTGAGATCCCAGAAACAGAGACCATCAAGGGAGAGTATTATCAGCGCGCTCAGTTCATCCGCCGATCAGAAGATCTGATTTCTGTAGACCACGGCCTGCAGGCCCTCATCAACGTGGGGGGTAACCGTTACACATTCCCTTGGAGTACGCTAGAGCAGTTCCCCTTGACACGCTTAGGACGTCTAAAACCCTGCAGCAGCCCTGAGGAAATTGCTCGCGTTTGTGACGATTACGATGAGGCCTGCCGTGAATTCTTCTTTGACCGTAGCCCCAGTGCATTTCGCGTAATCCTTAACTTCCTAGCAGCAGGAAAGCTACGTATGTTACGGGAGATGTGCGCACTCTCGCTGCACGAAGAGCTCAACTATTGGGGTGTGGAGATGACCTACATGGAACGCTGCTGCAAGCGCAAGATGTACACGCGCATTGAGGAGGTCGCTGAGCTGGAGCGGCGGGAAGAGGAGCGCCGTCAGCGCAGAATGCAGCTGCGCCCACCTGTAGTGGAGACACGTTACCGCAAGTTCATGAACGATCTTAGGGACATGGTGGAGAACCCTCAGTCGGGCTTGCCAGGAAAGATATTTGCTTGTTTTTCTGTGGTGATGGTGGCGGTGACAGTGATCAGCTTGTGTATCAGCACCATGCCGGATCTCAGAGAGGAGGAGAATAGGGTGAGTGCATACAAAATGTCTTAACCTGATTAAGGAGATTGGTCACCCAAAAAATGAAAAGTCCATCATGATGTTGTTCCAAACCATTATGACTTTTTTTTTTTTTGTCAAAATATATTTTGTGTTCCAACAAAGAAAGGAAGTCATACAAGTTTGAAACAACATGAGGGTTGAGCTAGTGATGGTCATTTAACATTTACTGAACAAGGGGCAATTTATATGAATATGAATCAAGCAATTTAAGTTTTATGAAATGATTTAATTGCTTTATATGATGCACATATTTAATTTTAATGATGACAAAATGTTCACTTTTGGGATTGAATTAAGCATTTAAGTCTATATGATTGAAAAAAATCATGCTCTCAAATGCATAAATGCTTTCATATCGAGCCAACACATTGGAAATAGTGTAATTTAGTATATGTAAATCCATTTGTAGCAATTCTCTCTACATTTTCCTTCGATTCTTTTTTTTTATTTTTATACAATGTGTAAGCAGCAAAAGCCAAATACATGTTCAGCCGTTCACTTAGACCCCCTTCTCCTCAGGTAGAATACGAGTTTGTCATTGGAGGTGAGTTTCTGGTCTTCAAGCAGACCTGTGTGTGCTGTTCCTAGTGAGAAATAATGAATGCACCTCAGCAGGGCTCCCCAATGTCAGTAAATACCCAGAGAGTAATGAACTGAACCAGAAATGCCTCCACAATGTCAGCAAACATACATAGAGAATAATGAACCAGCTCCATAGAGGACCTCCGGAATGTCAGCAGGCACACAGGGGGGTCCGCTTGAGAAGACTAGACCTTTTTGCTGTTAAATGACTATGAATTTTAATTGCCCTTAGGCAGATACCTTACACTGTCTAAAGTGTAAGGGTGTAAGGGGTAGGCCGCTGACTGTAGCTTCATTTGCCTGGAGTTTCGCTCCACGTGTTTTGAATTGAAAAATGTAGGACTTTGTGTGTAATTGGATGTGCTTGTGTATATGTCAAGGTAAGATCTGGCGATGTCTATGCAGTTACGCCAGCATAGCATCCAACAGGCACTGGAAGCAGCAGGACTGTCATATTTAATTCACACTGCTGAGCCGTTTGTCAGTGTCACCAGCATGGTAGAAAAGGAATGGCCTGAGCATGGAGTCATTCATCTTTGCTCATAAATGTGTGTGTGTATATGTGCGCGTGTGCGCATGTGTTCACTGAGTGATAATAAGATGACCTCCTCTGTCTCTCACAGCACTTTCAAATTTTCTTTGTGTGCAGTCGATTGTGAAGATGTACAGATTGATGTTTCACACTTCACCATTTTTTATTTAGTTTTATTCCCCTATAAATTATATACAACAAGACTTTTAGTTTAGAGCTCAATATCAGATCCGGAAAGACAAGGCAGCAAATCTCTAATAAACAGGAAACATCAACAGAAGTGAGAAACACTGTGAGCAAACTCACAATGAGCTAATAGAGAAAAACAGTGCATAAATTCAACAAGCCACAGACTTCTCGTGAACTTTTGGCATAAGGGTGACCTAAACAGAGCCCTGTAGCTTATGCAGCTTAAAATAATCTAAATGAGTGTACAGTAGTCTCAGAAATTATCTGGACACTTGACGAATACATAAATATATAGGAATGACAACAAAATATCAAACCATGTAGCATTTATTTTAAAGAAAAGTTGCACAAGCACACCTATAAAGTTTTGAATTTTTTAAAACAATAGATATATTGTTTTATTCAAAATCAAGACAAGAAGTATTTTGACAATTTCTTGTCAATTATTAGTGGAACATGTAAATCTACTTGAAAATCCATCCACTGAAAGTCATTGGTGAAGTAAAGTGAAGTAAAATCTGTTGTGAGGTCTAGCATAATTTGTTTGTAGATGGCTGCCGCTTGGTTTGATAATTTGAATCGAATGTTACATCATTCAAGCATTTTAAATGTGATTTAAGTGTCTGAATACTTTTGAGGCCCCTGTATACACTCTCATTGTGAATCCTGAACTCTGTAGTGCAATTGAAATTGTGTTTTGTGTTTTCAGTGTGATATGGATTGATAAGAGATACAACACATTTATGGAGTAGCATCTGAACTTGTTTAATCTGACAACCTTGGGAATCGATCCAGAGAGGTTAAATATCTTGTGTGTTTGAGAGCAGGCTGTGTTCTCATTATCCCAAGCAGCAGCTTGTTTATATGGTTTAGATAACAATAAATACATTCTTGTAAGGTGATAAGATGAGTTTTATCTGGCTTCATATGCCCTAATACCCTTTATCTTTGCGGCAGCTAGATAAGTCAGAAGTGGTGCTCCTATATTGGTACTGGAAGTACTCATGGGTAAACCATCTGCAGGTTTTGTAACAGTTTATTATATATTTAAAAGCCAAAAGAATCTGAGCATCCATACGATTGTCACGATTTGGTTTGTTCATGTCATGTTCCATGTCTGTCATGTGATCCTGCCATATATCTTGTCATTAGGCTTGTTCGACTTAAACCGGCGCTGCACAGACCGATCAGTGTATGACTTCAATGTACCGCGAGAGCGATAAGAGAGCAGACAGCTTACTTTCGAATCGTTCTCGCGGTACTTTGATGTCATAAACCGATCAGTCTGTGCAGCGCCGGTTCAAGTCGAACAAGCCTATTTGGTTAATCATCTGTTCATTGTTCACAGGTTTCCCTTGTCCTGTCATTAGTCTGCGTATTTAAGCCCTCATGTTTGCCCTGTGTCTTTGTCAGGGATTATTTCCTTTGACCTCTGTTGCGGAAGTCACACAGTTGTGTGCCATACTTTTGTTTCATGTTTGATCTTGTTATATGTTATTTTTGAATAAATGCACTTGGGTTCTTGCAACAACTTTCCTCTAGTGGATCCTCACAGAATGCTTGACCCATTCAATGAACCCAGCAGTTCTGTCTCTATTGAAACTCTGTCAAAGGTGACTTTTAAGGACATTTTTCATTTAGGGCTAAACGATCTGGTGCGGTCCCGATTGACAATGCCCTTTTGATAAGCGGCTCCACTTTTATTGTGGGTTTGGTGGACGAGGAGCCCCGCAACCCTGCAGTACTCACCAATTCAGAGGCTCCAAGTCATGCCTGCCAAGCCTGAGCCACTTCACGTCATGCCTGCCAAGGCTGAGGATCTTCACATCATGCCTGACCAGCCTGAGCTTCACT